ATATTATATATAATATACATATATATGTAATATAAAAACCAAATTTAATAAATAAATCATATAAATTTTCAGTCAAATGTAAACAAGTAAACATATATTCATAATATTACTTTATATTTAAATGGATGAAAACAAGCCGTCCCCAGTTTAATATCATTTAAAATGTCATAGAAATATCAATATAAATTATGCTAACAGAAATGTTATTATACACAAAGGAAAAAAATATTTCAGAATAAACACGAGGCGCAAATGAAATGACATAATGACGTTCGTCAACATGACGAGGGTAGTAAGAGGCTGGAGGTATGTATGTGTGAGGGAGAACAAACATTGATATATTAATATTTAATATGTATAATATAGGTTGCGAACAAAAGTTATTGGTGACCTATTAAGATAATTGAAGGTTAGAATATCTTGTTACAACTATTTTAAAGCAATCGATCGAGACATGGCTTGAAAACATAATATTAATATAATCTTATCACAACTAACATCATCACACATTGATAAAGTTCGCAATATGTCAGATTACTGTCAAAATAAGAATTAGATATATTAAGAATATACATTTGGCTCCTACGTTGTTTATTGTGATACTCCGCCGGGGACATAGCCGAATGGGCTTAAAACAAAAAAATGTTTTGCTCTCATATATGCTCTGAAATTCTAACAAATTATTATTTTTTCTATAGACAATGTATGTCACTGAAATAATTGTCTTTGTTGGACTAACTGAGATCAGTTAACCAGAGAAATATTATCTAAGGTGCATAAATCGTTACTCAAATAAGCAAATTTAAATATTTGAAAAACAATAAAAAACTAACAAATTTTGCAATGGAGCAACCCACACTCCTTAAGAATATTATTCTTGTATGTACTCGTATAAATTATACATTCATACTTACTAAATACAACGCACCCTGATGTGCCCTAAATGATTACAACTTCAAGAACTTTCACATATGACAGACAAGTTTTACAACCTACAAGTTACCCACGGGTCAATCGCACATAGTTTGCAACACCAACTAAAAGGGACAATAATCATTAATTCTGTCCAACGAAATCCTTAAGCGACGATAAATGTGGGGGAATTTGTATAAATTATAGCTGCGACACACGGTCGCGGTCACGTCGCAATTTGCGCCCTTGTAAATCAGACCCAGACCCCGCTCCAAGGACGCAAGGACCACGTTAAATACGACTCACCCAGCACCTAGAACAGCAGCACGAATTTAGACCAACAACATACATTTGGACTAATTATAAATATGAGTAATTGACGTAAATTTAAATGACGCCCACCACGTTCAGAATGTTGTAAACATTTTAATTTCAGTAAGCCCTTTACCGAGGCGTGTCATTTAATTATGCTATTAGCTGGCTTCCCAACTATTCCGGACTTAAAGGCGGAATAACCGGCAAAAAATATAAATAAAACGTTAAAACCACAATTATAAAACCGGAAAAGATTAGAGCGATTCTAAAGGCTAAAGTAATGTTAGTAGCGCGTGATAATCGGTAGGTAAGCATGGAATTGCGAAAAAGAGCAAAACTGAAAAAGCTCGTTGCGAGGGGCCGTGAGAGGGAGGGGTGGGGGGGTGAATTAGCATTTATATTGTCCTGTTGCGACGCACACCAGTTCGCCCTTTTGCTTTCATCCGATTCAGATGAACTGCTTCTTACACCGTTGACGATCTGTTATTATTCAAAAGAATAATTTATGAAAATAAACAACTTGGATGCTATTAAAAATACAAAAAGTTTTCGTAACTTATTTTTCAGAACTTACGATTTTTTCCAAAGTTTAAGCTTTAACAAATTTTAATTCTTGTATTTTAAGTTAATGTAGTATAGATATAGTTACAAAAGAAAAGTTAAAAGAAAATTTTCAATGTGAATCAATACTCTGAACAAGCTCTCTTTCTTAGCCAATATATTGTTCGTTTAAAAAATCGAGAAGATAAGATGATAAAATAAAAATCAATGGTTATTTATCTAATTGTTTCATTATGAGGGTGTGACAAGCGGTGAACGCAATAGTGCAGTTCTATTGGTACGTTATCTCGGCCGTCAGATACTTATTTCTGCCGCTTTCTTTTATAGCGCCGTCAAACAAGCCGCCTCTAACACAACTCCGTATTGACTAATTGAAAAACTTTAATTTGCCTTTCGCTCAAACGAGTAGATAAATAGAAAATGTTAAATTAAAATGTTCCTTGTTTTTTCTCCATTCTCGCTTATTTACTTATAAATATATTTTTAATTTATATATTCCACATTTGATACGTTTCTTTGAAAAGGAAAAACTTAGGTTGTATAATATTTCAGCGGTGTAGCTACACACAGTTATCGAAATTGCTGCCCTGATATTTTTGTCGATGATTTCCTAATATAGTAACACGTACACTAAAAGGAAAAAATCAAGTATAAATCAGGTTTATATATGGAAAGAAAAAATTAAGACACATGGTCAAGTAGAGTAACCGCCGTCACTAGGAGACTCGTAACGTTACTTCAAGAAGTGTGTTGTTTTCTAAGCTCCTTAAATTTTGTTGTCGAAGGGATTTTAAAATACACTGTTATAAAGTTTCGGTAGGAACATGCCTTAACATAGATAACATACCTGAACATATTGATGATTTAAAAAATATATAGTTATGTACATTTATTTAATAGAATTATTATAAAAAATAATATTTTTATACTGTAATATTGTAGGTTTAAGTATCAGTGTTTGTGAAAAGGATTATCATCGTCGCCATAAAACAGAATTGTGTCAATAAAGTCGGTTTAAATCGCCTGAAGAAGCGTCACTGACCCGAGGGGACGATTTCTTTCAATAACTGCCGGTAACGCCTTAAGTTAGTCAGTTAACAATACACTATGATAAAAAACCGGCGTTTTAGAGACGTTGAATTATTCAAATTTTCATCGCTACGCTTCTGTAAATTTTTAAAGAGAAATTGTGCAGCGTAACTTTTATTCTTGATATTTACATTAAGTGCTTAGTTTGTGTGTTATTTTGTTATATTTTTATTCGCCTTTATTTTAGTAATAAAAATAATACATTTTAAAACCACATAGATTATTTGTGTTTACAAATAATGAGAAATGAATAGACATTTTTAACAGAGTCCTTGAAAATGCAAATTATGAACCTTGATCGTAAACATGATTGACAACTAAAATATGACGATCATAACCAATCAACCAATTGTCTGTAATCGGAGGTGGTTTTAACATGATGCATATTACATTACTATTGAATGTTATTGTCTGTTCAATCTATATAGCTGGTTGAATTCATTCGAGGGCGCAGTTAATTTCTACGCCAGTGAAATAAAAATACAATTTAATTCTCATCTGTATGTAGCTCTTAATGTTTGTAGACAGTGATTCAGTAAAACACAATTTCAATATTATAAAAAGTGAAATAAAATTGGTTTCGGGGTTTTTTATATATTAAGGTATTGAACTTTATTTATTCCATATTTTCCGGGTGTCTGTGAGTAATCTTCCTATTAAATGTATGATAATAGTATTTCAAATACTGTGGCTATACGTAAATTTATGTTCTAGTTACTAAGTAAAAAACCAAAAACCTTAAAAAGTGTAAGTGGCAATTAAATTTTTTGTCGCAAACTTTTAAATAATAATGGTGAAAAATATATTTTTAATAACATGTATAAATATTTTTACTTTATAAAAAATATTCTTATAGTATATGAAAGAGCCTAATTTTGTTATTTCATTCATATCCTCAGGCATGAGAACATGAAAAACATACTTCGATATATAAATGAAGGTTCCCTATCGGTCTAACATCTGTCATCAAGTTTAATGATTTTTGTTTTAAGACCAGTATTCATCACTCTCGAAAACTCTCAAACGAAATTTGGATTTTCCAGGAAAATCATTTTACAAGACTCAATATCTATCAATCTTAATTCATTTTTAATAACTTATTTTAAGGCCATGTCGTCACTCTTTGTACTGAAAAAAATGTTTTCATCAAATGTTTGCGTTAGTTTTGCAGAATCTTTCTAATGGGAATATTCTATAAATTAGATTCTTGCCTATTTGGACAAAAAAGAAAAATAATGAATAAAGAGAGATACAAGGACTAGTTACGTAACAGCTATGTGGAGGATCCGATTTTTGTCTAGAACGCAATTCATTTGGGTGTGCAGTTTCAAAAATTCAATATTTTACTTTATTCAGTTCGGTTCTAGTTGTAGGAATGTAAACAAATGGCAACTATTGAAAGGACAATAGTCCCCGAGAGGCGAATTATTCGTGTAGGATAACTTCTTTGTTGAAAACAGCCATAAAATGGATCGTTATTTATTATCTTTTAGTATTTTAACAGTTTATGTGGTGATATATATTGTATTGTCTAAAGCAAAAGCGATTCTAACAACATAATCGCAATAATTTGCTTTTCAAAAGAATTACCTCCACCATATTTCTGACAAAATAAATCTTGAATTAGGAGTGAGAGCAGATGTGGGTTATACATATGTACTGCTACATACCAGAGAAAATACCATCAGTATAGAAAAAAGAAATGTGAATGATAACAATTCAAAAATACTAAAACTTTTCCACTAAAATAGTTTCCTTTGAACAATATTATATCAAAACATCATTTTAAAAACAATACTATAATTTATAGATAACAAGTTGTGTTTGTTCTTAGATGCGTGTACTGTGGTGGTCTCTTGTACTGTGCAGCGTTTTTTCTCAAAATTACGCTTCTATCGATGCAGACCTAGCCGTCGATTACTTCTTGAAAAAACATGTACCTTTTGTATGCTACTTAACATGTGGATCACCAAGAATGCCCTTTGAATTAGGTAAGACTTAATTTAGATGTTTATCTATAATGATATGTTGGAGATTGTATAAATAAAGATGATTTAAAATTTTAAGCGCAACACAAAAAGTTGGTAAAAGCTTTTCTCAAAAGTAATATAAGAATCTCATTAATGCGTATCGAGAAACACGCATTGGATTTAAATAAGAATTTACATCAATGGACTTTTCCAATCGGAGTTCTGATGGATGGTTCCTGTGATGGCATTCCGAGTGTTCTAGAACAGGTCGTTATATTATTCATTTAAGCAATGTTGAGTTAAAACATTTATTATAATTAAGTTAAATTATAAAATGTTTAATTCATCGATTCTTGTCCGTGCATGAAAGCTTAAACAATAAGTCACTTGAAAACCCGTATTCAGTAGGTTATCGGTTCAAAGCCTTCTCATATTATGTATTGTTCAGAGCATATTTTCTAATTTCAATATAAATTATTATTTGCCTGTTTAAATACAATTATCCATCCAAAAAAGTGTTATATATTCATTCCATTTGAACCATAGTATCTATATTACATAATTGAAGTTAAGATAGGAAATGTTACGTTTGTACCTATACATATATATATATATATATATATGTTCGATCATTTTTTTATCATAATAAATCAGGCCTCAAGATCAGAATTGTTTGATGACGTGCACATGTGGCTGATATTTGAGAACTTGAACGAGAAACGTAGCGGCGGTGTCCGAATAGAAAATGTGTTACAAAATTTAAATTTAAGCATCAATACAGACATCGTCGTGGCTCTGAATACAGGTAATCAAATAAAAATAAATTTTAATGTATTTTTTATAAAACTAAAAAATAGTAGTATCGTTGTTGGCGGTATTAGGCTAACAGCATTTGACAATGACAGAAATGTCACATTATATAATTCCGATACTTCTAATTTCACAGAGGAGACAGATATCCAACTAATGGATGTATTTAACTTCGGGAAGATCCAAGGTAACAGTTTAGAGAAGAAATTCATAGGAACATGGAGTCCGGGAAGAGGTGAATAATTTTTAGATAAAATATTCATAGCTCGGGGCAGTTTGGCGCTGATTCGTGTTTCACAATTTCAGGTTTGAACATTTCGTTGAGCAGATTCAAATATTATGATCGTTGGGATTTGCACAATTTGACGCTGAGAGCCATAACCGTGGTGAATATCATTCGTATATTTTATAGAAAGTTTCACTACCTTTTGTATGCGGTTTCACGAGCTCGATTTAGACGAAATTATAATATAGTTTGACGACAACGACAAAATATCATATGGTTATCTTTTTCTCAAAGATCTCAAAGTGTTATCTTTTTATTTGACATACTTTTTATCTTAAGAATGAATTATTTAGTTGGGAAGCAAATTCATAATCTCTAAAATCTATTAACGTAAATTGCCACAAATGAATTAATATTTAGATATTTTATGGAAGTTAAATATTCAGGTTTTAGGAGCACCCCAGGGCTATGATCCCGAAATGATTTTAGAACCTGGATATGACTGGCGAGTAGCTTTAATAACAAAGTCCGCTGCCCAGTTGCTCGCTATTATTAGAGAAAATCATAATTTCAGGTATTCGGTATATCAACCACATTATATATTTTTTTAATCTTATTTTTAACCAATGGCTTAGCTCTTTTATAATTGCTACTATATGAAATAGTAATGTAGCTAAATTTAAATTAATTAAGTTCTTATTTATTTTAATTATAGGTTATATAAGTTGAGTTCTATTTTAAATTTACGACATGAAATTAATTTTCAGATTCAATTACACTATAGCTGATCTCTGGGTTGGATCTCCATTGAAGAACAGTACTTTGGTAAAATATTTTTATTTTGTAGAAACTTTTATCTTATTCCTTTAATATTTTATTTTTATACACTAGTATTAATGACTTCATGATTTTTTATTATTGTTTTTAGGGTGTGACCAATTCAATATACTGGGGCGAGCAGGATATTTCTTTTACAAGCTTGAGAATGTTCTCACCGTGGATGGAATGGGTTGATCCATTCTTTCCACCGACAACTAAATTGGAGTATAAGTTTTTTATATGAAATTTGTTGTATGTTATTTATGATTTATTTTTTATACTAATCTATCCTTTATGATGTTTTTTTAGAACGAAATTCTTCTACCTCATTTTGGACAAGGGTGTAGGTAACTATGAGAATCGTTTTCTTACACCATTATCATCTGGTGTATGGTGGTGCACAGCGGTGGCGAGTGTAGTCTGCGTTGCAGTGTTAGCTGTCACGGCTGTCTTAGAGGAACGAGATGAACCAGGACTATATGCGTTATTCAGCGTCTTTGCTGTTATTTGTCAACAAGGTAAAGTACTGTATCACGATTAGTATAAAAATAAATGAATATGATTTAATGTTATGACACTAAAAAAGACATTATATTGTGTTATGATAAATTTATTACTAAACATTACTCATGTATTAAATAAGAATGAGACAATATGTTATTTCAGCCTATGAAGATGGTGTACAGCTATTCGATGAATTTTCATCCAGCCAAGGTAACAGAAATTACATAAGATACTGATTATTATCCGAATTTCAATACTCTTGTCTAATTTAAACATCTCTTTAAGGTCGTCGCCTTATTCTTCTTGTAGTGGGCTTAATGAGCATGTTGCTATATAACTACTACACTAGTAGCGTCGTCTCGTGGCTACTGAACGCCGCCGCACCCACCATGTCAAACATAGATGAACTTATTGATAGCGACTTCGAGCTAGTCTTCGAGGACACTTCATATACCAGAGGCTGGCTAAATGTATTGCAAATCAATATTAATGTACAATTTCATACTTAATTTATAATTAAATAAGATCTGAAAGTTTACGTTATTTTCAAAACATAAAATTTCAAAATAGTCTCCATTCTTATTCCGAGAATAAGGAAATATCTTAGATACTCGAATAAATGGCTCATACTTTTTCAGAATCCTGGATTTTTCTACTATAGTGGTTTGAAAAATCCTAAAGAAGATATACTAAGAAATAGAGCGACGGTCACAAAGCGCACTACGAAACTGTTGCAGACTGCCGCGGAGGGGATGGAGCTCATTCGTTCAGGAGGTTCAAATGATTTATTTTATGATTTACATTTGAACCTGACTCCTGTTTGAATTACGTAACAGAGCTCGGGATTTTAATATGAAACTTGATTCATAAAGATCAGATATAAATAGATTTTCTATTACTTAGCTATAACACTATGCTATATAGCAATATAAATATGTATTTTAACCGTCGTTATATAATATAAAAATAAACTAGCAACTAAACTCAAACTGTGTAGTTGATTTAAGGAAATTCTGAAAATGACAGTCTGCTACTATCATTATACTTATATGTATATCTATGTTGTAAAATAAGTATGAGTAATTGTTCTATAATCCTCATTATTTAAATGTGTTTTAAAACAATTACAGATTACGCTTTTCACACGGAACCTTACACAGCTTATCAGGCGATATCCAGGAGCTTCAAAGAAAAGGACATTTGTGCTCTTGGCTCTCTACAAATTATGATTCCGGCGAACACTTATATTGTAGGACAGAAACGAAGTCCGTATAAGAAATTCTTCGTTTGGAGGTCTGTTAAATTATAGAATCATATAATGGAAATAAATCTGCTAAATTTATTGCTTAATAATAACTGTGTTTGATTACAGTCTAATGCGGCTCCTGGAACGTGGCCATACCTCCGCTGTGCGAGCGCGAGCCAGTGGCGTTACACCAACCTGTTCCGGAACTGTTCCAAGAGCACTCGCTCTGGGACAAGCTGCACCAGCTTTTGCAATCCTAGCTCAAACTGCTTTTGTGTCCTTCATCATTCTATTATTCGAGATATATTGGCACAAACGAAGGTATGCCTATCAATACAGATTTATTTCTGCTATTAAAAAATAAAAAAAACAAGCTTATTTATTATCATGAAAAATAATATGGCATTTAATAACGTACGGGGTTGTCATCTATCAATATTATTTTCAGGAGTCACGACAAAAAACAAGTGAGAGTACTTAATAATCGCACACATAACGCGCAAGAGGTAGGGAAGAATGATTCCCTGAGAGTATAAAAAACAATAAAGGGAAGAAATTTGACGGCCCGCCGTGAGTGAGTGGCCAGTTAAAGGTCTTACAAACATTATTATTAGGACGTCAATATTTTTTCACTACGCAATACACATAAGTATGGTTAATATAATGTGCAAGATCTTTATAGTGTATAATATTCACGATAAGTTTACGAGTTTAATTATCTAATATTAATATTGCAAGAATTTAGGGCATAAATATGTATATTATATCATTTTAATAATCAGTTAATAATTAAAAAAAATAATTTTAAAAGAATATTCTATTATATGAATTAGCCGTTCATAATATCGTAGAAGCTTATAAAACTCTGTGAATGTGAAGCATCTCTAAGGCGTTTGAGACACGGGCCGTTGTGAGTAATGGCGGCGCGTCGGCGAGCTATCTAAATCGCGAGTTATAAACGACGCTATCAATTCTTGTTTACTCCCGAGGGGCGAGCGCCTTCATTGAATACCGAATTCACTTAGTCTAGTTACATTCAAGCGCTTGTTTTTTTTGAGCTGTTTGAAGTTGTTTCCAATATGCTTCGAATCAGTTCATTCGTTTAGTTTTCTTATTTATAAAAACGTTTAAATTCTTTTACTAAAAAGTAAAAGTACTTTCTATGACAGATTTGTGTAAGCAATATAAAATCTTATTCATTTTTTCGAAAGAAAATAGATGTAATTTTATTGTACCACAAACATAGTCTGACACAGTAGACAATGATGGAAACACTGTATACATAAATGTATTTAGGAAAAATATTAACTTCTTATTATAAATACATATACATATATTAAATTAATAAATTGATCTTGATCTTTATTTTTAATATTTAATGTACAACATATTAATTGACTAAAAGCTTTGTAATAGTTTTATAACGAAACTTTTATTTATTTTGATGAACACATAATATATGAGGACAACATACTAAACCACTAGTCCACACTGAAGGGTTGAGTGGGACTTTAAAATACATAATTTATTTAAACCCGTACATAAATAAGTAGCAATATCACTCCGGGGAGCTGGCGACCATTTGTGATCATGTAACTTTTGCACTCACTATGATAGTTCACATTGTAGATACTATATAATAAGATGCATTGTACAAAGCAGTACTTTAAAATAAACTGAGGGTTTTGTTATCATATGTATAAGAGAGGACCAACTGAAGTTACTAATTCTAATATAATCTCTCAGAAGTCAGAACCCATCCCCTAGTTGTAATAGTCAGAAAGCATTTACTGTTAAAGCTCTAGGACAGTTAAGTGTCTTCAAAAATTAAACGTCTGGCGTATTAATAACGTTCTCACGTAGTGGAATTGCATTTGCATGTAAATGGGAGTGTCGCCTGTTATTTTATATTACTAAGCTACAAGGAGGTTTGTCTTTCAACATGAATCTGTATTTTTCATTTCCAGTTTTATGGAAAAGGATCCTTCTCAATATTTGTTACTAAATATAAATATTAATTAAACATTAGTTTCTTACGATGGAATGTGATGGTAAGAAAGTTAAATTTGACAACGATTTCAATTATTTAGTTATATTTAGCTTTCAATTATGTATACGTTTCATTTAAATTTTTTACTAGAATTTTATAATATATGTATAAAGGTATGTATGTTTCTTTGAAGGACTCCCCAGCATGTCTTTATTATATCAGATTTTGTCTGATAACGCTAAGTAAATGGCGAGGGTATTGATAACATCCGACCCGGCTAGAGGCAGCGACGCGTGGGAATGGAGCGTCCTTTGGAAGGTTCAGTTATTGTTAGTAAACGATAGGCTTTGTAACATTACATATTTACATACACTACATAACAGAAAACAAAATTTAGTAGGACCAATACGATTAATGAAGAAATAATAAATAAAAACAAGATATCTTCAATGAACAACACTCATTCAATCTCAAAAATAAAGCAAGCATTTTATATTTATTTTTAATTATCTTTCGACAAAATGTATTATTTCTCTGAAACGCAATATTGATGGTTTGTTATGTTAATGGAGCAAGAGTTTAATATGTGGCATGCGATTCATAATTTAAAATATATTTCAACAAAGTAAAATTAATATTCATCCAAATTGTTCGTATTTAGCCGAACATGATGAAGCGCAGAGATTAATTATTTTCAGTGACATTACTTCTAGGAAAAGCACACCTTTATTATAAAGTAGAATTTCTGATATAATTTGTTATACAATAGTTATTAAATCGTACCAATTAACAATCTGCTGCCGTAGATCATTTCACGGAATCTTCGTGTAATTATTAACGAAAGAATCTCTACCAAATTATGGAGGTATTAGTGTAAGTTTTCTTAGCTAATTGAATATTCGTACGAGATTCCGTTCGCTGGCTCGAATATTGAAGCGTAATTGATAATTGATTGCAATATTATTGAATATTGTACATTTTGATTATATGTTGAAATTTACTTTGGCGGGAATGAGAAATTTGTAGATTTAACTACAGTTCTGTTCAAATTTGAAGAAACCTGATGGTTTCGTAAGGCGTTCTAATTAACACAACTAATTAATTCATGACTGAAAAATAAACTATTTTTAGAAACATTTGGTATGCTATTTATACATATTAAGAAAAATATGTTTAAAGTAAAAATTTTGGTATTATGATTCTTAACATAATTGCACTATAATTACGACGTGTTTTATTCTTCACTAATTAAAGAAAGGTGTTTCCTTCTGTCGCCTCATCCTCCTGGCTGCTATCACCGCCTGCATCCGATTCGAGAAACTTTAATAACGGTTGTTTAATACTGGCTAATTACCGTTTAAGTTTTACTGAAAATTTTCTAGTGGCGATATATATTTCGTTCTGTAGAATTTTTGGTAGATGCTAATATGCCAATAATAAAATTTAGGTTTTAATGAATCATTATTATTAAAAATAATATAAGATATAGAAAATATTGAAGTTACCATAAATAACAGAAATATTTCCATCAAAACTGTATTATTCACTTCATATTTGACAATGGCATATAAAAATTTTACAACCCATAAAATTCACTGACAATATTGAGTTCCAATCTGCTGGACGTTGGTATTATACTGTGTAAATAATGACCAAAATATTGACAGTTCATTAAATAAAACCATGGAACTATGGAAGAATTTTATATAAGAAATTATATACATTTAAGTTTTTATGTAGCAAGAGAATCAAACGACTTTGTTTATAAATTATATAATATTATTAGTGGAGTCGGTAATTACTTTATCAATCACAACCACTATTAATAAAATATAACGATTTATTTTGAAATCGACACTATGACTGAAAATAAGTGCAATTCGGCTCGAAAGAACTCGTATCCAGAGTCGTAAAAATATTTACAAAAAAGTGTAATATAAATTTCATACATCACTTTAAAGTTATATAATATTAAAACGTCAAGGATACTGAAGGATAAATATTGAAGGAACAAATCAAAATGTCATTCCATATAAGAGTAACTGGAATTTGTTTTCAAAATCTAAATTGCTAACAGATACAAACAAAGCGAACAAAAGCGCTTATGGCGTAATAAATCAAAGTTGTAAATCAGTGGGTCCTGCGAAATGTAAACCGCACAACATTAAAAGTTGTTTGCCAGTAGTAGGCCCGCGGCTAAAACGTCAGCTTTTCACTTTGTTAGGATTTTATATTTGAACGTTCATGCTTGAGTGATAAGACGTAGCGATCGACAGGTTTATGATAAAAAAAACATAAACATGAGTAACATATGAAATAAAAATTCAAATATTTTATTTTATTAGAAAAAAGATAATGTGTAATCCTACATTAGATTGATTCTTGTAAATATTCGCTGTACCTAGATCTAAATGACTGTAAAATGTTAAGAGTTTGGAATAATATTTAAGTTTCAAATCCACGCCGTAGCTTGTGGCTTGGACTTGAAGTGGCTCATTGATCTCTCTTCTTACTGAAAGGGTTCACGTCTAAGCCTCTATAGGTCGCTCCAAAAAAGCTTTGTTAGATAAGACTGGTTTGGGCCAATCTTTTTCAAAAGCCCCGTTATCAATTTAATCATCAGATACTTTTATGAGGATTTTTTACACAACTTAGTGAAGGGTCAAGTAACTCCAGAGTTAAACAAAACTTAATTTGCCATAAAATTTCAAACTTTTCAGTAATTTTTTATATCGATCAGTGAAAAAAGTTTTACAATGTAACGACTTTTATACCATCTTTATTAATTAATCAAAGAACTATAATGAACCAATACAGGATATTTATTTATTTATTTATATACACTTTATTGTACACCAATATATAATAGGAGTAATAGGAATAACATAAAGAAAAGAAAATGTACAACAGGCGGCCTTATCGCTAAAACAGCGATCTCTTCCAGGCAACCTTTGGTAGAGGAGAGAGATAGGATGGTAGGGGTGTACAAATTATAAATATAGATACAATATATATATATATATACATCCATATATATGTATATATACGATACATAAATAAATATACCATAAATATATACTTATATAATAATATAATATACATACACATTATAAATATATACATTTACATACTATAGATAGTTACATAATATGTAAATAAAATATTTAATTGCAGTACATATTTCTTCACGAAGCAAGATAGTGCTCTTTTATCATTTTTTTAAAAGAAGTCAAGGTTGGTGCACGTCTTGCTTCGAGTGGAAGAGAGTTCCAAAGACGAATAGAATGGACAGTAAAAGAGTGAGTGTAAAAAGAAGTTGTATGAGGTGGTATTTTTAAGATCAAATTCTCTTCAGAACGAAGATTATGACTATGTGAAGAACTAAGAAATTGAAAACGTTCTTTTAGATATGAAGGAGAAGACGGATTGAACAGAATACAGGATAATATTTTAATAAAAGTTATTAATTGTATGTTTCTAAATTTATATAAAGTTTAATCTTCTTTAACTTGACCCTTTTCGTGTCTAGCTTTCGGCCTGTTTGAT